AGGATTTTTGTTTTCTTTACATTAAGATGCAATCCATACCGAAGGCTGTGCTCTTTGATCTTCATCAGTAAATATTTTAAGTCCTCTTTACTTTCAGCAAGCAAGGTTATATCATCTGCATATCGCAGGTTGTTATTGAGTCTTCCTCCAATCCTGATGCCACATTTTTCTTCATAGAACCCACTTCTTGGATTATTTACTCAGCATACGGGTTGAATAAGTGTGGTGAAATAATACAACCCTGTCAATATGACCATGTGATTATTTTTCTTTGTTTTATGTATGTGATGAATTATGTTGATTGTATTTCTAATATTAAACCATTCTTGCATCCTGATATGAATGACACCTGGCCATTATGGGTTTTTTTGATGTGTTGTTGAATTCTGTTGTCTAGTATTTTGTTACAAATGTTTGCATCTATGTTCATAAGGAATATTGCTCTATTTCTTCCTTTTTAGTAATGGCTTTGCCTGACTTTAGTATAAGGGTTATGCTTGCTTCATAAAATGTATTCTGGAGTTGGGAGTTTTACATTCTCTTCTATGTTCTGGAATACTTTGAGTAGAATTGGTGTCAGCTCCTCTCTGAAGGTTTGGTAGAATTCACCAGTAAAGACTTAAAGTAAAGACTAGGCCTGAATTTTTTTTTTGTTTTTGCGGGGGGAGGTTAGGTTCTTTAATGACCTGATCAACTACTTCTTTCCTTATAGGTCTGTTCAAGTTTTCTACATAATTCTGTGTTAGTTTAGGTCTTCTTGTTGTTATTGTTAGGTGCCATTGAGTCTTTTCCAACTCACAGCAACCCATGTACAACAGAAAGAAACACTGTGAGATCCTGCTCTATTCTCACAATCACTGATATGCTTTAGCCCATTGCCGCTGACACTGTGCCATTACATATGGTTGGGGGACTTTCTATTTTTTGCTGACTCTTCACTTAACCAAACTTGATGTCCTTCTCCAGGGACTGGTCTCTCCTGATAATATGTCCAAAGTATGACAGCCCAAATCTCGCCATCCTGGCTTTTAAGGAACATTTGGCTGTACTTCTTCGAACACAGATTTGTTTGTTCTTCTGGCAGTCAGTAGTAGTTTCAGTGTATTTCTCTGAAACCAAAACTCAAATGCATCAATTCTTCTACAGTCTTTCTTATTCACTGCCCAACTTTCACATGCTTATGAAGCTACTGGAAATATCATAGTTTGGCTCAGGTGCACTTTAGTCCTCAAAATTGACATATGTGCTCTTGAATATTTTAAATAGGTCTTGTACAGCAAATTTGATTAAGGAAATACAGAGTTTGATTTCTTAGCTGATGCTTTCATGAGTATTGATTGTGGATCCAAGCAAAACGAAGTGTTTGACAACGTTAACCTTTTCTCCATTTGTCATGATAACATTTATCAGTCCAGTTATGAGGATTTTTGTTTTCTTTACATTAAGATTCAAGCCATACTTAGGCTCTAATCTTTGATCTTCATCAGTAAGTATTTTAAGTAATACTCAATTCCAGAAAGCATGGTTGTTTCATCTGCATATTGCAGGATTTTAATGAGAGTCTTTCTCTATTCCTGATGCCACGCTCTTCTTCATATAATCTAGCTTCTCAGATTGTTTGTTCAGCATACAGATTGAATAAGTATGGAGAAAGAGTACAACACTGGCACATATCTTTCCTGATTTTAAAGCATTCAGTGTCTCCTTGTTCTGTTTGAACAACTGCAAATTAGTCTATACAAAGTTTCCACATGAGCACAATTAAGGGTTCTGAAATACCCATTCTTTGTAATGTTATCCATGTTGTTGTTGTTAGGTGCCATTGAGTTGGTACCAACTCATAGCAACCCTATGCACAACAGAGCAAAACATTGCCTGGTCCTGGGCCAGTCTCACTATCATTGCTACACCTGAGCCTATTGCTTGCTGCCACTGTGCCAGTTCATCTTGTTGGGAGTCTTCCTCCGACCTTCCACTTTACCAAATATAATATCCTTCTCCAGTGGACATCATTGTACCTCCTGATAAAATGTCTTAAATATGAGACAAAGTTTGGCCATCCTGGATTCCAAGCAACACTGGCTGTACTTCTTCCAACACAGATATATTTGTTCTTTTGGCAGTCCATGGTACTTTTAATATTCTCCAAAACCGTAATTCAGATGCATCAATTCTTCTACAGTCTTCCTTAGTCACTGTCCAACTTTCCCACGCATATGAGGTTATTGAAAATACCAGGTGTTGGGTTAGGCATACCTTAGTCCTCAAACTGACCACTTTATGATTTTCAACACTTTAAAGAGCTCTTGTTTAACAGATTTGCTTAATGCAATTTGTTCTTTGATATGTTGAGTGCTGCTTCCACTAATGTTGATAGTTAATCAGAGGGAAATGAAGTCTATGACAACTGCAGGCTTTTCTCCATTGATGTAGATGTTGTTTATTGGTCCAGTGGTGAGGATTTTTGTTTTCTTTACATTGAGATGTAATCCATACCAAAGGCTGTGCTCTTTGATCTTCATCAGTAAGTATTTTAAGTCCTCTTCACTTTCAGCAAGCAAGGTTGTATCATCTGCATATCGCAGGTTGTTAATGAGTCTTCCTCCAATCCTGATGCCACATTTTTCTTCATATAACCCAGCTTCTTGTATTATTTGCTCAACATACAGATTGAATAAGTATGGTGAAAGAATACCACCCTGTGACACACCTTTATTAATTTTAAACCATTCAGTGTTCCCATGTTCTGTTT